GATTAACCTTATCAATTGTTAGTTGGCAATCATGAATTTGGATTCGAAAACTGAATTGGAAGTGCACAGGTACCTTCTTAGTTTCGGTAAACTAATCTGCTGAAATGTAAGTAAAAAAGTTAAGTGGGTTCTGTCGAAATTTTTGCGTTACTTTTTTAAATTTCTTTTTAAGGCAATTTCGACATGTAGCAATTGCTGCGGTGACTTTAGCAATATTTTCCGTTTCATTGGCAATCTTAACAGTACCACTGCTCTACAGTTATGCTCATCATTTGCATTCGAAAGTTCTGGATGGAGCAGACTTTTGTAAAGTAAAGTATTTTGTCGCATAATTTATTGATTTCGAGAAGTTTGTTCCATGGGAATGCATCCATTTGTTTTTTTTTTTTTCTAGATGAGTTCTCGAGATATGTTGTCCGAAATGTACGCTCTTCGGAATCAGCGTCAGACAAGAAGACGTGAGAAACGTGGCTGGTTGTTTGGACAATGGCGTGATGATGGTATCGGTGATGCAGGTGGAAATGGCGCTTATGGTGCTCCTGCAGCAGCGGTTTCATTTTCAAGTTTTGCAAAAAAATTAGGATATTTATTTGACTTTTAAAGGAAGTTTTTGAAAGATTTCTGAACTTAACTGAAATTAGAAATTGTAGCCCGTATTCGAACCGCCATCACCACCACCACAGGTAGATAAGGAAGTAGTAATACATATGATGCGTTGCATGTGTCAACATGGACCACCCGGACCACCAGGACCGCCGGGAAATGATGGCAAGGATGGTAGGGATGGACAAGGTGGAAAGGTAGCTATTATTTTTTGATTAACGAATTACTAGATCTAATACTGTCTTTTTTGAAATTTGAAAGAACTTTCTTCAGAGTTTCTTTTTCTTTCCAAACTAGAATATTTTATTCTGATTTTGCCTTCTATTTAGATTTTAACATTTTTCATTGTTAGCATGGGAATTCTGGTAGAAATGGTAATGTAATGCCATATGATGGTTTGAAGAAGGAACCTTGTATAATTTGTATGCCTGGTCCACCTGGACCACCAGGACAACCTGGCAATAAAGGACCGCCAGGACCGCGCGGTGAATCGGGACAACCAGGTCATGATGGTAAGTTGGAATTAAAGCAGCAAATAATGGATGCTAAAACTCTGACAAACTGTGCAACGTCTACAAGAACTTTCTAAAAAACACTTTTCAGGGAAAAAAGGAACCCGAGGCATGATTGGGCAGCCTGGTTCGGTGGGGAAAACAGGTGAACCAGGGCCTAGGGGTAAAAAAGGAGAAGTAAGTTATATTTCGTAAGTTTGTCACCAACTGTACTAGACATTATTATGTAAAAGTTATGAGCTAACTCCAGTTGTCGTTTGACACTGGTGATTTGTATAACATTTTCCGGTATTGTAACCCTATATTTCAGGATGGAAAAATTATTAAATTAGAAGGACCTGTTGGTATTGAAGGACCCCCAGGACCAGTTGGACAACCTGGTATGAAAGGACCAAAAGGGAATCGTGGACAGACTATTCCTGGACCACAGGGAGCAATGGGCGAGGTAAGTTATTCAAAACTTCTGATATTACTACTTCGGAATTCAAGGTTTATCCTTTGGTTGCAGTTTTTTGAAATTACACCGAATGTATTCCAGAGTGGAAGAAAAGGTAAAAGTGGGAAAAAAGGACCACGAGGATTACCAGGGCCGAGCGGCTTACATGGTTTGAAAATTGATCAAATTAAATAAATGTTTAAAAAGTTAGGTCAGATTTTTCAGTTCTCGAAAAGAAGAGTCAGTAAGTTCTATAGTGACAATTTCTAACATCTTGAAATAACTGCGCCAAAAATTCAGAAGGTTTAAAAAGATATATTTTTATAAAATATTCTCGGTATTGTCAGATAGTTTTATACCTCTAATTTAGGTAGTGATGGTGGTTGCGGCCATTGTCCACCACCACGAACTGCAACCGGCTATTGATATAGGATGTGATATGCAAAATATCTAATTATATTGGTATTGTCTTATGGATATTTTAGTGATGCATGGAAAAGTTGTTTGCATGCAATAAAATAAAACATATTCACTTTTTAAATTCGTATTTAACAATATCAATTAGCAAGTTAGATGTCGAAAATAACGTGGTATTAATTAATCCCAAGTTAATAATAATTAAAAAACAAAGGAGTTCATTTATTTTCTCTCTCCTCCTCTCTTTCTCTCTCTGAAATCCTTCAAAAAAAGAAAAAACGAAAACTTTTTTAGAATAAATCATTGACTAACTAGTCTCTGTTGCAAATGAAATATTATGGACAAATGAAATACTTCAAAATTAAAAAAATCCTACCAAAAGATTTGAAATAATTCAACGATAATATCATTTTTGTGTTTGCTAATATTCCGAAGTGGCTGCTTATATATATATATTGGAGCATTTTTCTATGGTTGGTTAATTGTTACCTATAAAATTATTAGCAGTGAATATTAGCAATTTGTCACTGAGACAAGTAACTAATATTGTTTAATGGTATAACAGCTTTTTATAATAGATAAACAACTGAATGAACTGAAATGGATTTATATTTCCTTATTCATTTCATACTGTTAAAATTTTCAAACAGATTTCATCATATATATATGAAATTTATTAACCACTGCCATATATACACAGATATGGAAACGCGACACACACACACACACACACACACACACACACACACACACACACACACACACACACACACACACACACACACAC